TTTTCTTATACTGCCAAGGTTTGGAGCTTAATTTATTTATTTTGTCGTAGACACTCAACTTTTGCCGGATGTCTTTATTTTAATTGCTAAACTGCTTTCAGATGTAGCTCCAGGTAGCATTAGGGCATCAGGGGAAATACCATTTTTTACTGGTCTTTTCCCCCCTCCATCCCTCCATCTCTTGGGAGTGGAAGACAAAGGAGGAGTGGGAAATTCAGAGAGAGAGCGAGTCTCAGTAGGAAAACAGATGTGGTTCATTGAAGTGGAGCCAGCCCAGTCAGAGACAAAGACCTGAGAGCATGAGTGTATGATCCTCAACCAGCAGTGTGTGTGTGTGTGTGTGTGTGTGTGTGTGTGTGTGTATGTGTGTAAAAGGTATGGGTGAAAGAGGTGGGGAAAATATGTGGAGACAATAGAGACAGAAATGGTGATTTAAAAGAAACTCATAATTGAATCCACAAACACACAGTTGGATATACTAATACAAGTCTAGTCAATATTGTTTTGTTTGAATTGCAAGCCAAACAAGCCCATTCATCACTAGACAGATTCATATCTCAAGATGATTTTGGAGCTATGGCTTCATCATCCTGTTTGGATAAATGCTGCTAAGTAAACTGCGCCATATAAAATCAATGCATCAATGCCAGCACACAGCTGCACTTTAATTGTTTTGTATTCCACTGACTGGCGACTGTGGAATATGTTGGTTCCAAATTCTTTGTTGCAGGGTTGCAAACACTAAACTATTCATATTTGGATAAAACATGTTTTAATACAAAAGCACTGTCTTCAAACACTGGGTCTATACTTACTTTGGAAAAATGGGGTTAAGTTTGTTTTTCAATACGAGTTTTCTTCTTTCTGTGGGGGCAGAGGCTTTTGTCGCCGCTCACTGCTGCTGCACAAAAGAAGAAAGATAATGCCGTTTTTATTTTATTATTAGAACCAGTCTGGTTCCAAGCTTTATTACAAACTGTGTAACCTTAATGAACTCATGCACAGGCACAGTATCCTCAGACACGGCTGAATGGAAAAGGAAATCTCTTTTCAAGGTCTCTTTTGTTGTTTGTTTTGGTTTGTTTTGTATCAATGTATTCATTATTGGCTAAGTGAAACCATATAGACAACTCTCGGCATTTGCACATTTAAAGTAGACGTATTGAAGCAATTTCAAATTGTTCTTACCTTTTCATCTTGCTCTCTGCAACTAAACTTGTTGTTGGCTCATGTTTTATAAATCTATTTATTATTCATAGAAGCACTTAAATACTAGTTTCTCTGTTTCGGAATTTAAAAAAATGTGCAGTCTATTTTGATTAGTATTCCCCAAGTAGTTGGCAAAACTAACACCACCAAGATAACAGGCACATTTGTCCCATTACAGTATGTCCCTTTTCATTGCCTTCACAACGTGAGAGATACTGCAGTATTAGCATTCATCCTGCTTTGCCTTGATGACATTTTGCCAAATCCAGCTTTTCACTGATAATTACTTATTTGTTTGTTTGTGTGTGCGTTTATGCGAGAGGCTCATTAGAAAAGCACTGATGGAGACTGTACTAAAAGAAAAAAAATGCCTCCCTCCCAACCCCATTTAAAAGAAAGAAAGAGGAAGCACGAAGGAGGTTATGAAATATGAAAAGAGAGGGACAAAGATTTGGAGCAAGGCAGTGACAGTAAAAGACAGAAGGAGGGAGAGTGATGGCAGAGAGCGAGCAAGAGGGACATTTTGAGAGATTTGACTCATTAAAAAGAGGAGCACAACAAGGGGAGATGGCATTAATCAAGCTCTGAGCTAATGAGGCATTTACTCATTACCCTGAAATAGAGAGGCCAAGGGGGGGAAAGAAGGGAGGAAAAAGGGGAGGGGGGAGAGAAAGGAAAGAGAGACCAAGGCATGAATTAAAAGAGTGAAAAACGTAAATAATGAAGTAAGAAAGAGAACAATATGGAGGTGACAGAGTATCGGTACCTGGTGTGTAAGGGCCTTTAAGGCCCTTACACACCAGGCCGATATCGGCCGTCTTGCGTTGTTGGGCGAAAACGGGTTCCTTGTCGCCCAAATTCAATTTGGTGTGTCCCGAACCCTCGGCCGTGACACGCCTTATTTGGCCTTTCACGGTCGAGGCCAAGAAACCACTCTGATCAGCTGTTCAGCTTGCAAATGAGAAGCGAAACGGAAGTGAGGGACGTAAACAAACGATTTAAGGCACAAGACAGCAGCTAAACACCAGCAGGTGATACTTAAAGACATCAAACATAGCCCTTAAATGTCCTCTCTTACCTCCCACACATAGCAGGGACATCTCTGATATCGGCGGGAGCGTCCCCGGCTGTCCTCTGCTGAGAGCTCCGTGATTTGTTTGGTCAAGTCCGGTTTTTCATCTCATCTTAAGGTGTGATGGGAGGATAAGTGGGACAGGTAAAGACAGAGTGAATACGCAGTGTAGAAACAGATAGTATTGATGTAGGAACTAAAACCTTGGGCTCTATTTAAAGACCTGCCATTTGGGGTCTTTACTAGAATTAGTCACGTTAAATTCAACTGGTTGAAAAGGCTCTGTTTTACCCCTTAACTTCTCTATACTGCAGTTGTTTCATGATATAGTCCGCGTGGAAATGTACTTTAAAGTGGGTTTTTGTCTCATTGGGGAGGTTATTCTATATTATGTATTGATTTTAAGATTTACGTTAATGTATAATATCAATCACACAGTAAGAAAACCTTAGCTTGCTAGAGGACTTGATAAATGAATAAAGGTAAAACTAAGTTTAATCACTATTTTGATGTCTTGGTAAAAACGATGTATCATCAAGGAGAAAATTAGCAAATGAAAGTCATTTTTGCTATCAGAGTGCTTTTAAAAAGCATCAAGGCTTTTCATTAGACTAATGGCAAAGCAGTGCAAGAGACAAAACAAGTGTGTGTTTAATGCATTTGTGTGTGTGTGTGCGCACATTGCATGGCCATCTGTGGAGTGATCTATGTCCCTCCTTGCTAAATGGAGTCGTTAATATTTGCATTATTTAAACCAAGACATCTATAACTCATTTATTGTGAGTCTTTCAGGCTTTTAGAATGAAAAGGATTGTCGTGGAGCCAAAACAAATACCCTACACTGCACATTACTGCAGGAGGGCTTTGCTTTGTGGTCTTTTTCTGCTGCTGTGAAGTGGAACCGAAACAACGAAGGAACAAAGATGTGTTTTTATTTACTGGTTTTGCTGTTCTTTGCCGCTTCTGGCTGTTGTTTCAAGTTATCTCTGCCAGTGATGGGACTGTTCATGCTGTGGTGGACAGGCTGAGCAAAGAAAGAGAAAACAATGTTTTTGTTTCTGTAGAATAAAAAGACTCAGATTGTACACAGATATTATAGTGTCTCTGTCTTACTGAGGAACAGCTAATTGCTAATGTAGCAGGCAAGGCACGTTTATTTATATAGCACCTTTCAACACAAGGCAATTCAAAGTGATTTACAAAAATGAAAGACATTAGGAGCAACATATTATAAACATATTATAAAATGATATCTAGAAACACTCATTTAAAAGCAAAGATAATAAAAGTTACAGTGCAGTTTAAGATATGAATATATCAATTAAAAGCAGCGGCAAAAATAAAAGTCTTCAGCCTGGATTTAAAAGTAGTCAGAGTTGCAGCGGACCTGCAGGTTTCTGGGAGTTTGTTCCAGATATTTGGAGGATGGCCATAAACTAAATCAATCAATCAATCATGGCAGTACTAGATTGAGGGCTATTACCAGGACATTCAAGTCATTTGAATTAATCATGTGTCCTTATTCTAAGATGTAGACACATTTCACAGGACTTGCTGGTGATGCTTAAAGAAGTTATAACAATCTATCCACACCATAAATATATATCTGTACCAATGTATCCACATCAGTCTGGACCAAAGACATTCCATATGTGGAGCCATATGCCAGTGTGGCTAATAACCCCCTAATGTTTGCAACATATACAATAATGCATCTCTCTTTTTAATGGTAGCTATAGTTTTGTTGGCATTGTTTTGCTTGAGGAGAAATACACCAGGGAAACCAATCATGAGTTTGTTGACTAAAACCTTAACAGTATAATTTAAAGGTCACCTATTATGCAAAATCCACTTTTTCATGTCTTTTATACATAAACATGTGTCCCCTCTGTGTAAAGAGATTCTGAACGTTTCAGGAACAAAGATTGGCTCACTTTTTGTCCTGATCCATTTATATATAAACCTGTCTGAAAATGAGCTGATCAGATTTTGGCCACTTTATGATGTCATAACGATTTTTTGGCTTGTGTAACCATTAGCCAATCACCAACCAAGGTAACGCCCCCCACCTTATCACCTTATCACCTGAATCTCCTCCTAGAGCACCATTGTGTTCTTTTTAACCAAATCTCTCTCAGAGGGGCGTGGGGAGTGGCTCCTTATTTTCATCTAAAGTAACAGACAGAGAATCAGCACTTTTGAAACAGGGCTGAAACAGAGGGGATTATGGGATGCTACAATGATCTGTTTGGTATTTGGAGTCAAACACTTCAGAGACATGTTTTGTATATATCTGAGACCTATAATATATTGATGAAAAACAGTATAATAGGGGAGCTTTAAGTTTCTAAACCTCCAATGACACCACAGCACAAAGCATCTCTAAAACGTTCAAAAGATTTTTCTCAACCTCTCTCTGGTTCCCGTGGCCTCCTCCCATTTTCCTTCCTTCTCCCTCTGTTATTGTCCTCATCATAACCCTGCCTGTGCACGATTCACATCTAATCTGAGTGATCCCAGATCAGTGGAATTATAAGTCTGGGATCTATTTTTAGCTCGGTTCAAACCTTTTTTCTTCCTCTTCCATCTTATACAGTAGACCTTTATATGACAAACAGTTTAGTTTGAATTAAATCTCAAGCTTGTTCCAGGTCCGTCTCGTGTGTGAATATGTAATTAAACTCTCTCTTTGTCTGTTTCTGTGACTTTTACTCGCCAGGACTCTGACCTTGTCCTGACGTTCAACCTGTCCATGCATCGCTCCTGGTGGATGGAGAACGGCCCGGGGTGCAGGGTGACACCCATCACCCCTCCTCCCTCCTGGGCACCCGAAGACCACCGATATATATCTATATCCGGCTGTCTGATGGATTTCCAGTTCATAGAGGTGGCTCACTCCTCGCTGCAGATACTCCTGGCTGTAAGTACTGGAGCTAAATGAGTACTTTCCAGTATGCTCTGCAATTTGAAACTCAAGTATACAGTAAGGACACACACCGTTACGCCTAGGCTCGTGGCTTTGAACAGCCTTGTAACTAATACTAATGACCTGTCCCTAACAGCGAGTGCTGCTGTAAATGTGTAGCAGTTCATATTTTATTTTATTTGCATGACCTATTTGCTTTCTTTCTGACATGAGGCAGTAAATGAACCTTAAGCTTGTAGCTAGGGATGTATTTAGCCTTGCTATCATACCAGCTAGTTTGGAATTTTCCAATCATGATTGGTGGGCGGCGTGTGGTGCAGTGGGTTGTGCGTTGGTGTTGGGATCAGGGGGGTCACAGGTTCAAACCTCACTGCAGTCAGCATGTCGTTGTGTCCCTGAGACACTTCACCCCAAATTGCTCCTGTGGGGATTGCCCACAGTATTGAGTATGTTAGTCGCTTTGGATAAAAGCGTCTAACAAGTAACATGTAATGTAATGTAATGTAATGTAATGTAATGTAATGTAATGTGGGCACAGGAGAAAAGCAAATGAATGTAAGGAATTGTTATTCAGTCATCACAGTGAGTTAGCGTTAATTAGCTAGCTAAGTGCAGCTAAAACAACCTGCTTGTTAAAGAAATTACCATAAAAGCCTCCAGCATGTAACTATAAGAAAACAAAAACTGTGTTTTAAAAGTTGTTTATATAGTTAAATGTACAAAATACATGTTCAGGAGAGTTTAAAGAAACTACAGACTGTTGATAATGGGTTTGGATATCGTGAGTGATTATATCCAAAGACATTGATAATGATATTAATAACAATAATCAATTTTAATTAGAGACAATAATCACACTCAAAAGACAATGTACATTTATCAGGATCAGAATCAAAATACCTTTATTCGTCCCACAGAGGGGACATTTACCATTGTTACAGCAAAGAGCCAAAGATAGCTTAATATCACTCAAGAAGCATGCATATACAAATAAATAAAAGGTAAAAACTAGAAATCACGCATCTATCTAATAAAATAACATACTAAAAATGTTCTCACCTTACTCTTGGAAAAAAAGACCAAATGAATTCCAAAATATTGCAGTCTGTGTGACGGAGAGAGAGAAACTTTAAAATGAATCAAATGATTATATGTATGATCTATAGAGTCACCCCCGCTAGTACATTTAGTTTAATGTATTCTAAAGTGTACCACAACCATGCCAACTTCTCTGTCTTTTGCGATGGTTCGGGGAATTGTGGGTGATTGTGCAACTTTGTGGTAAAATAAAGCATCCCGACTCCATTAAGTTAATAACCTCATACCCTTATTAACATTGAAAAGCTAGATAAACTGCTTTAGAGTCTCTCTCTCTCATCTCATCAGTTTTTTCTTTGTAGCTCTCTCGTGCTCGCTCTGTCTTATTTCATTGTTACAAAACAACAACGTTTCCCTTCTCTTTGTTTCCTCTGCCTGGCGCTTACCCTCGCCCTCTGTATTTCTTCCTCTCCTGAGCTGTCAGACTGCGATAATTAGCAGGATCAGAAGAGACAGTGGAGAGAGGAAAAAAGAGCATGAATGAGGGAGGCCTGTCACTTTTAATCTGAGTCTCCTCAGTACTGAAACTCCGATTTTCGAGAGCGCTTATGAATACAGACGCTTGCACGATAAACAAACAGGCGCTTCAATGTGACTGCATGCATCATTACACCAACACAAAGACAGAAAAAGAGTTTGGGAGTTTCAGCGTGGCTTTTCTTTTTTCTTTTCCACGTCTTCCTCCCCTCACTTGGCATGACTGTCTCTCGCCCGCTCTCCTCATGCACTTTCTGTCAATCGATAGCGGTACTTATAGTGTGGCTGAGTGCCAAGCCACCGCACAGCTGTACCACTGTCTCGCTGTAATTGGTGTGTGGAAACACTGTCATGCTCCATGAGCACACTCTCAACACTGTGACTGGTTCACTGGCTGACTGGCTGGCTGGTTCACTGTAATTGGTGGAAACACTGTCAGGTTCTTTAATAGCATACGTCCAACCGGTAGACTCGATGACTAAGTGCGGGGTTAGGGTTCGGTTGGGTTGCTCTCTTCTTTGCATGTTTACTGGTCAGCTGATTGTTAGCAGTGTAAAGGAAAGGGGTTACAGGTGAGTCCAATGTTTTCTACAAATCATGGCACTTTTTGACAGACTGGGATTGGGAAAAAGCCACTGTCAGCTGTCAAGGTCTTCAACAGAGCTTGTTTTTGTTTGGGAATGATTGCCAATGTCCCCAGTCAGTTACAGGTATATCTGTTGTAGAAATTAAAGTTTGGCAAATGCAACCTTGTAAAGTTGTTTTGGTCTTCAAATTGTCAAAAATACACTTCCGTCCTAAAGTCCAATTCCAAGGTCTCTAAATTTCCAAAGTCTTTAAATTTTTGTTAGTTCAAAACCCAAACCTATTCAATTTAATAGGCTACAGATTTGGAATTCTCAGCCATTTTTGCGTTAACAATATCTTCAAATGTATTCAAAGTATTTTGCTGCCGATCAACAGATTGATTAGGTCACACATCATCGCATCTCTTAAGTTATTCCTTATATCTACATGAGATAAGAAAGTGAGCTTGTAAAAAAATGTAAACAAATGTACTGACAAGCTGATTAGCGTGCTCCCTGACTGTTACAGCACTGATTAGTTTTCCAAACTGCAAATCTCAAAGGGATTTCTTTACACTTTGGTGCACAGTATGAAGATAGGAGCTGAAGAGGAGCATGGGGCTTCTCCAGGGAGATTTAGAGAGTTGTTGTTTTTTCTCCTCCTACCTTATCTAATAGCATGGGCTGATCATTAAATTACATTTTTGCAACAAAGAACGACTAAGATTAGGCTTCCTGCTGGCATGGTTGTCCAAAGTGCCTGCCTGCCTGTAATTTCAGTGATTAGCATAATTCAACTAGAGTGGGGAAACTAATCAGTGAAATCACCTACTGTAAAGGCAGCCTCCATACACTCAGCATCCCATTGGACACACAGTTGAAAAAGCCTTGAATTTTAAATCCTGTGTGTTCATGTGATGAAGAGTATCATCATCTGTGCTGCTTGTTTGCATGTTAGCAACTCTGAACACTGAGAGAATGAACACAAATTGCAGCCATTTTAGCCTAACTGCTCAACAGTATTGGTAGGTAATGATGTTTTGCTCCAAATTGGCTCATATCCTTGACGTAAAATCTAAAATATTGCAACAGTTTTCTTAAAATGGCCCATAACCAACACGCAATATAAGCTTTTAGGACAGTTAGGCTATTTTGCTTTCCCTGCAACCTTTCAAAGTTATTTTTTTAGTTGCAGATTATTTTATGTACACCAAATATATGCATGATGCAAAACAGAACAAGCAAGTAGCTCTGCCAACACAGAGCGCTGTATTTGGGTCACTGAAGAGAAGACTGAGTCAACAGCCATGATACAGCTCTTTGAGGCTGTGAGAAGGGAAGGGAATTTATACAATGTTATTGTCATGATAGATGCTGTGTATCAGTGCAATTCTTTATTGATTCTATTATTGATTTCTGATCACGTTGTTGTGTGGCAAAAAAGTAGGCCTTCACCAGTTTTCAGCATCACATAGCTTTTTTTATTATCTCAGAGTCCGAACACAGTGTAGAATGACCTGATGATTGTGAATCTCTAGAAAATCTAATGCCAATCCAACAAAAAATATTTCACTCAAACCCAAACATTTCAACTTCATGGTGGCACTAAAAAGAGGTCTTTAGAATACTTCATCCATCGAGAAGTTGTGGAGGTATTTCAGTCTTGACCAAAGTGGTGAACTGAGTGACCAACATTGCCCTCCCTATATTCATCGATGGCTATAACAAAGTCAATATTTTAGTCCTGATATGACTTACAATATGTAACAAAAATATAAAAACCAAGGACAATTGAACCACCAAAAAGTGACCCATTTGGGGAGTTTATAGACATTCAGCGGACTATCCTTTATCTGTCCTTTCATTATGATCAGTAAGATGGCACTGTTTTAATGACCACAACTAAAGCATATACTCTCCATCATTGAAATATTAAACAATTACTAAAAGTATAACACAGAAATATTTGATATTTGAGTTTCTAGGCTTCCTTGTTCATCATCGGGTACAAAAGTTGAGTCATTAGCATATGAAGCTATACTTTAACTTTCATTGACTAAACACAGACAATGATGTCATACGCAAACAATGATATTAGTGGAAGCAGCACTGGGAACACATTGGTTTTCATAGCAGAGTTGTTATTCAGAGATCAGGGAAAAGAAAGAACAATGCATGTGAATTGAACCAGTCATCCAAGCAGTCGCTGAGCTCTACCGCACTAATCCCACATTTGATGAAAAAGTTGAACCTTCCCTTTTTGCCTGTTATTTTCAGATTAAGACGGGTAAGAGCTCATTTAATGAATCAAAGAAAAGCTTGCTTTAACAAGGAATGGTAAATTATACCTCTAAAGTTCAAGGGTGAGCAAGGTTAATGCTGTATGTTATCCTCATTGTGATTAATTTCTGTTGCTGTAAATTATGTGCCGTTTCTCAAAGGCATCAAACATTAGAAACAATGTGAGATGCAAGTTATTAGACAGAATGTTGCATAAGGATTACAACACAGGCTGAAACATAACTGTACAATTAAAATTCCTCATAAACATTGGGAGGGTTTTGGGGCGTAAAGGCGCAGGGAATGGGAAATAATCAATTTTGGATCAAAATGTCTTCATGATCTTCCGAAATGTTGGTCACAAGTCAACCCGTGGGGCTGGTTCAGTTTTACTAACCTTGAAGGGGTTGATGCATGAGACTTTCCACAGAGACTGTTTTGGCAAAATGCATTCTTGCCTTCCTCCACAGTGGAGAACAAACTGCGTCACCGGGTGACTGACCTATAAGTGCCTTCCCCATGGCATCTGTCGTGGCTTCTCTGAAAGGTCTCCTCCCACGATGATCCCCCTGC